GCAGAACGTAATGAAGGAAAATATATAATTTTAGATTTTTCAAAAAGGCTTAACACACAAGTATGAGTAGAGGTCCCACACTGACTAAGTCCACCACTGATAACAGGATCAGCTAATCCACACTGGATGCCAGTCTGCCAGTCCTTTCCTGTTGTTACTGGCTGATTGGGGTGGAAGGAAGGAGGGTGACTCCGGGAGAGGTAGGATGACAGAAAAGAAAGATACTAGCTCATAAATTAGGGCAGCGGATGGGAAAAGGGCCAAAACGGGAAGAAAGGAAATGCCAGCTTTGCTGAGTTTCCAGTCTGCCTCATGACCACTCAAGCAACCTTGAACTGGGCCAGGCTGGACAAAAGCCATTCCCACCACACCTCATTTTCTGAAGTTACAACTTAATATGATTCGTGAAAAGCCTCTTTCTAAGTATGCTTTGTGCAAAGGATATTTGTTATATGAAAATACTAGAGTCACGGAGGTTTTCGAGCTATTAGGGAACTTAGAAATCATGGAATCAGGCTTTAGGCTCAGGATTCCTCTTCTCTCTACCTACAGAAACTTCAGGAAGATTTCATCTAGAAGCTAAAAGAATAAAGTCTTTCCATCCAGGTGGATAAGTAAAAGGTGTCAGGTTTTAAAAAGAGAAATGAAAAATTGCTGGCCAAATACATATTGCCCAAAGATTTATAATACTTGGGGGAGAGGGCCAGGGATTACACTCTCCAAGATTTCTTTATTTTATTTTTTTAAATTGCTTTAATGTTTTTATTTATTTCTGAGAGAGAGAGACAGAGACAGAGCATGAGCAGGGGAGGGGCAGAGAGAGGGAGACACAATCTGAAACAGGCTCCAGGCTCTGAGCTGTCAGCACACAGCCCAATGCGGGGCTCGAACCCACAAACTGTGAGATCATGACCTGAGCCGAAGTCAGAAGCTCAACCGACTAAGCCACCCAGGCACCCCTCTCCAAGATTTCTTTAGCTCCTTTGCCAGTGAATTTTATTTTTAAAAATACACAGATGATTAATGACTAATTTTAAGCTGTTCATCAAGGAGATCATTTTGGCAATATTTTTTTTTTCTTCACCAATTTGTCTTAGGGTTAAAAAAAAAACCTCAACTGTTCCATTTGGTTTAGGGATCAGCAAGATTTAAATTTCTAATTTCCAAAGCTAGTGCATATTTGGCTAATTAATTCTAGCATCTGACAATGAAGAACCAGAAGAAAGAACATAACGTTAAAAGTAAAATATTAAAAGTTTCTAAAATGGTAAAAACTCTGGCTGCATTTTATTCTATCACACATACTTCAGGAAGCATATGAAACAAAGATGTGCTCAATAATGTCTGGTCTAAACCTTTAAAAGGAAATTTGGTAGCCTCCACGAGTGTCCAGGGTCCTCAAGCTCCCTGTGTATAGTCCCCTCCCACATTGTACCAGGAAGTGAGGGTATGCCTGTCACCTCCAAGATTAGACACAAAGGCATCACGCTCTCCATCTTGACTGTCCTCTCTCTCTGCCTTTCAGATCACTTGTTCTGGGGAGAGACTTAGTCACCGCATTGTGAAGAGTCCTATGAAGAAGGGCCCATGGTAGAGGCACTGAAGCTTCAAGTCAGCAGCCAGGTGGGTGAGCCATCGGGGAAGGGGATTCCCCAACCCCAGTCGAGCCATCAGATGACTACAACCTCCAAAGAGACTCGAGCCGGAAGCACCCAGCCAAGCTGCACCCAGATTCCTGAATTTCAGAAACTGTATGAGACAATAAACATCTATTGCTCTAAGCTATTACATTTGGGATGATTTATTATACCGCAGTAGAAAATTCATTCAAGACGGATGAACTCTAGAGGTAGCCAACCACACAGGGCCAAACCACTATATTTCCTTCAACTCATGCCATATACTAAGTAAAATTACACTGCCTAATTTAATTGTCTAAAGTAAAATTACAATATCCTAATTGGGATCAGATTTCACTTAATATTTTCCACATCAATTCCCAATCTCTGTGGGCCTCAAGTACACTATGTATACCTGAGCAAAAGCAACAATGACAACAATGTATCAGCAATTATCACTGAATTGCATCATTCTCTGCATTTAGATTTCAATTTTTTCAAAAAGCACAAACTCCCCAAAGGTCATCTACGACCACCACAGGGAGCACTCACAAAAAGTTCACTTTTTTTCTTTTAGAGTAACATAAACTTGAAATGCTTTCCCTCTTTTTTTAATTTTTTTTTTTACATTTATTTATTTTTTAGAGACAGAGCACGAGTGGAGGAGAGGCTGAGAGAGAAGGAGACACAGAATCTGAAGCAGGCTCCAGGCTCTGAGCAAAAGTTCAGCACAGAGCCCGATGCGGGGCTCAAATCCATATGCCGCGAGATCATGAACTGAGCCGAAGCCTGACGCTCAACTGACTGAACCACCCAGGCGCCCCAATACCTTCCCTCTTTGACTTTCCGTGTCCACATTCTCATCATGTTTCTCCCCACTCTCACTCGTCCAAAAGCTCATATACCTTCTTGCCTACTGGGTTCTCGTTTTGGAAGTCTCTAAGAATAGGTACATATATACACCCATATTTGGATTCCTAAGTAACCTAGAGAACTGAGAGCCAGCTCATGGTCAAATCTCCAAGGTCAGGTACGTATCTGGTATTGGTTAGATCAGTGGGTGAGTGCCAAGGGGACAGCAGATGCTCTATAAAATGTTCATTTCCCACCTCTTCCTTCCCACCTCCCCCATGATTAGGAAGGATTGCATTTCCCCTGGGATTCTGTTCTCTTTGATTCGGACTTCTCAGCAACATGCATGCACTCGAAAAAAAACAAATTTCAAGGGTCTTGCCTTTATCTAACAGCAGGGGCTATTTGTTCAGAAGCAACTGGGACCAGGGAAAGGTGGGACACTTGCCTTATCAACTCGAGACAAATTACCATGGGCACTTCAGACGAGTTCACCAAGATCTCTTCCAGAAACTGCAGCTCTACGTGGTTAAACCTTCTCCACAAGTAGCTCTCAGAAAAGGCCTCCAACAATGTCTCTAACTTTCATAACTTTCATGAGTGGAGAAGGATTTAGTAACTGAATGCAAAGAGGCATTGTGGGATTGGGCGATGGGGTACAAAGGATTACCTCAACTCTGGTTTACAAATTTCCAGAGTCTCCAGCCATCTCCAGCCAAGGCAAGAATTCAGAACGTTTCTACTTCTTCCACCTTTCACCAACACCTGTTTCGATCTTATTTGACATTTTAATTCTTGTCTCCCTACCTCTGTGTCTGGGTCCCGTATTCATAAAGTCCTTGCCAAGATCTCAGACAGCCACTGTTTCCAATGGGAAATACCATGAATAGAAAAGGAAGTTAAGACTCAGATGTGGTCAGAAGAACCCAGTCTAGGGGTCAGGACTAAAACCACACAGAAGGAATGTATATCCCTGTCGTTATTCGCACCTTAACTCCATTCCACCCCCACTACCAAACAGAACACCTTAAACATTCCTAATTTCATGTACTCCTAACAGGCGGCATGACGATTTACCACCTTCTTACTGCCGAGGACTCTCCAGGACACAGAGGTGAAAAGTCATGTTCAAGATCCCACCACTAATAAAGTTTCAAAACCAGCATCACACCTAGGTCTTCACACTCTGCCCTCCTCTTCTTCCCGATATTCAACGCCACCTCCCCAGTCATTCTCTTTCTGAGAACTTCCACGTTCTAATTCCGCTGCTCCGGGATTCAGGAACATTGCCTTCACCTGTTTTGAGCTCTGACATCCAAGAATCTTCGTTGCTCTGCTGAACGTAGGTCATGTGCCCATCTAAAAGAAATGCTACACTCTCTGGCAATGGGTTGCCCACTATCCATCCCCAAAACTTAAAAAAGAAATAAGGTTAAAAGCTAGGCCAAAGCAGAAAGTTTCCTGACGTCACAGGGGACGCAAATGAAACCATCAGCCAAGTCTCTTTCATGGGCAAATCTAAACATTTTTTTTTTAATGTTTATTTTTGAAAGAGGGGGCCAGAGGGGCAGAGAGAGGGAGACACAGAATCTTAAGCAGGCTCCTGGCTCTGAGCTGTCAGCACTGCTGCCCCACTCAGGGCTTGAACTCACAGACTGTGAGTTCATGACCTGAACTGAAGTCTGATGCTTAACCACCGAACCACCAGGGCAATTCTAACGCAGTCCACCAGACGCAAGAACTTCTCCCCAGAAGGCTCACCTGAGAACAATACCAAAGCTCCAATGTTTCCAAAATTCATCTGTTACGTTAGCACAGAAAGGACACTGCTCAAACAAGCAGCCTGGGCACAGCTATCTCTGCCACTAGCAGTTCCCAACCCACCGGGACACGTATAACCTTATCCGTGGATAAGAGGCCCACGTGGAAGCCTGGTCCACCACACAGTTAAGTCCGCGGTGCTTCCTATTAGAAGTCGCGGTCGGTCGATGGCAGTCCTACTATCAGAAAGGAACTGACGCGGGGTGGGGGCAAAGAAAGAACTTTACGCTCACTTGGAAGACAGGACCAAAAACAGACCAAACAGCTTTTGGAACACGGCCCCGGGTCCAAGTTCTTAAGGTTCTAGTAAGTTTTTGCAACATTTATTATAGCTCTTACCCTGCCCACAAAGGCGACTAAGGGACTGAGGAAGTGGACCATCCTCGGGCTGGAGGCCCGAAAGGGCAGGAAGTGGAAGCAGAGGCCATTTGTGGGAAAAGGGAAGGAGCGGCGAAAAGGGAGGGGCTGGGGCTCTGCCCCCATTTCCTCAGCCCCGGGCCGGGTCTGGGAAGCCGGGAGGCTTTCTCCAGGGGACCTGCCGGGGCCCCAAGGGGCCGACAACCCCGTGTCGCCCTCCGCCTCCCTCCCCAGCCTACGCGCAGGGCGCGGGGGCAGGCGGTCACCGAGCGCAGGACGGCGCACCCGACTTCCCCGGCCCGCGCCCCACCCCGCCCGGAGAGGGGCCTGTCGAGGCACGGGCACCCTTACCTGGGACCTGTCCCGCGCCGCCTCGGCCGTCCGCACCGACCCCGCCGCTCTTAAACCTGCCCCGCCCTCTCCTTCGCCTCCTCCCGGGGCCGGACCCCAGCAGTCCCCTGCCGATTTGTCATTGAGCAGCCCTGGCTCGCTTCCCTACCCCGGGCGCGCCCCCGGCGTCACCTAGGCAACCCCACCTCCCGAGAGAGCGCGCTTTCCTTCCGCTCCCGCCCGCCCCCTGGAGGCCGCGCCCACTAAGAGCATACCAGCCAATCCGAAGCGGGTCTCGGAGGCTGGGGAGGAGGCTTTGCCAATGAGATGCCGCCTCAGCCGGGAGGGGCGGGTTCGGCCCGCCTGCCCCGCCCACCCCTACTTCCTCCTCCTTTCGCCGGGCGGCTGGCCGGACTCGCTGCGCGTGACCGCGGCTGCAGTGGAGGAGTCGAGCTGGTCTGGGGACTCTGGGCGTGGGCGGGTGGAGGGCGCTCCAGTCGTAGATTTAGGTCAGAGTGAGGCCAAACTAGTGGAAAGCAAAAGGGAAAAGCGGACCGATATAGAAAAAGCAAAATTGCGCTGCAGCGCGGGAGTGTCTTAAGTTCCAAGCTGCTGCCGGACTCCGTCCTGGGGACATCTGAGACAGCGGGACCTCTGCCTGCCGCCACGACTCGCTTGGCTAAATGACATCCCATTAGCAGCAATGGAGCTACTTGCCCAATGCCTAGCAACAACTTGATCCAGATCACATACAAGGGTCAGAATCCTAAACCCAGCTTCCCGGAGGCAGGAAGTGCAGTGGGCAAGCTTTCTTCACCCACAACCTGCCCCCCTCCCGCCGCGTTGTCCTTCGAATACAGGGAACTCGTAATTTTTTATCCAAACAGGGCTTAACCTCGGGTTGATTTTCCTGACTATCTGCCCCTCCCTAGAGCTGAATCCTCTTCAACCCCCCTCAGCAGGATGTGTGGCCCCACTGCCGCCTACACAAACCTCACAGCAGGTCACATTGTATCACAATTGTTTAAATGCTCTCCCCGTACAATCTCTAGGAATGGAAACTCTTGTTCAAGTTGATATCCACAGCAGCTAGCTAATTCTTTCCTTGTTAATAATTATACATTAGGATACATGTGTATTTTATGAGAGGTTTTATGCCTTGATGAGATTGCTATGTAAAAGCAACTAACACATACAGGCCCTCTACCAACCACTGTGTCAAAAGGCACAGAAGCTTTACCTTAGTCTTCAGTAACAGGCTTACAAAAAAACATTTAACTCGAAGAATATCCTAGTGTCATACTATCTTAAATATTCTGTTTTATCTTTCTCATACACATTAAAGACTTATTGCATGCTAAGCATATGAGAGAAACACTGCCAGATACTATAAGGGAGAAGGAAGGAGGGGTCTCAAAAAGAAAGTTCTGTAATATGTATAACCTGGAAGAGGAATCAGACCCAAACCTCTTCCTATGGAGTGATGGTTAATCACAGGTTTGGAATCAGGAAGCATAGGTTCAAAGGAGGACTCTACCATGTAACTAGCAGTAGTCACTTTAGGAAACAACTAAAGCTCTGTGGGCATCAGTTTCCCCAGCTGCCCAATGGGAGCAGTAACTCCACTAGGAACTTGGGAGTGTTAGGATCTTGGTGAGGGCTCAACAAATGTTAGTTTAATTGTTCTTAATGTGCATTTATTTTTGAGGGGGGGGGGTAGGGCAGAGAGAGAGGGAGGCAGAATCCGAAGCAGGCTCCGCACTATCAGTGCAAAGCCTAACGTGGGGCTGGAACTCATGAACCGAGTGATCATGACCTGAGCAGAAGTTGGACGCCCAACCAACTGAGCCACCCAACAAATGTGAGTTTAAATAGTGATTACCACCAGAGGCCGAAGCTGTGGAAAGAACATTCTAGACACTCCCTCCTTCAAAATATTTACTGAGGGGAGCCTGGGTGGCTCAGTTGGTTAAGTGTCAGACCTTGGCTCAGGTCATGATCTCACGGTTGGTGAGTTGGAGCCCCGCGACAAGCTCTGTGCTGACAGCTCAGAGCCTGGAGCCTGCTTCAGATTCTGGATCTCCCTCTCCCTCTGCCCCACTCCCGCTTGCACCCTGTCTCTCTCCGTATCTCAAAAGTGAATAAATGTTAAAAAAAATTTTTTTTAAATAATCTGGCAAACAGGTTTGCTATTCAAAAGTACTTACTGAGTATTGCATGAGACTTTACTGCTTTTGACAAACATTTCCGTTTCTCTCTCCTAGGCACTGATTAGGATTGAACTTTCTAGCTCTAGTGTTGGGTGAGGCTATGCAACTGGCTCTAACCAATGACTTGTGAGTAGAAGTAACACATAAATCATTTGGAGACCAGAGAACTTATTTGCCAATACGAGGCCTTTCATAGCTCTTGTCTCCTTGGTATGGCCACTGGGAATGTTTGGGCCATAGCTGTTCCATCATCCTGGGACCCTACAATGTCCACAGCACTTCCCCTGCCAACCCAGGGTGGACATTTAACAATGTCCACATTTCACAATAAGCCAATCCACATTTAACCAATAAGCAAACCTCTGTGGTCTGAGGGCACTAAGATTTGGAAGTTGTTTGTCTACTGCCGCATAGCCTGTCCTGTTCTCACTGCTACAAAGCCCTCAGGTGTGCTAAGCTGGGGACACAGTGGTGAACAGCTCATAGAATAGAACAGGTAATAACCCAGTAGACAAACTCGGTCATTATGCATTGTGTCATTACAAGTTACTTGAGACTGAGAAGCAAAAAATAGGTCTCTGTTAGGAGGTGGGTGACATTCAAACGATGCCCGGAAGGAGGGAAAGGAATCAATCTCGGAAAAGGTTGGCAGTTGGGGGGAAGGAGAGGGGAGTATCTCAGGCAGAGGAAGAAGCATGCACAAACTTCTATGGCAACAAGAAGCTTGGTCCCCTTCAGAACAGACAGGAGGTCCTGGGTGGAGAGCCGTGAGCAGGGAGAAGTGAGCCGGCACAAGGGTGGAGAGGGAGGCAGGAGCCAGATTAGGTGGCGGCTTCTAGGTGATGATAAGGAGATTGGAATTTATTCCAAGTGTGACGGGGAGCTTCTGAGGAGGTTCAAGCCAGGAGGGTGACATGTTCGAATCAGATTTTAAAAAAGGCCTGTGGTGTGGAAAATGGGCTGCAAGGGACAGATGTGGGAGTGGAGGTTAGGAGGCTATTCCAGGAGTCCAAGCAAAGTGGGGGCCACAGGAGCAAAGGCTGGAAGAGTGATCTGTCCTTCCATAACAGGAAATGTGGGGCGACTGCAGAGGGACTGACCACTAAATCAGAGGCTCCTCCTGCCAAATCCCAGAGGAAGCAGGGGCAGGGTTAAAAGTCAGGTCCCTCACCCCCACCCCACCCCGAGGTACTCTGACCCCAGGGAGATTGTGCTCAAAAGCCAGGCAGGAAGAGATGTGGAGCAGACAGCTGACCAATTTCCTAGGATGTCAGCTAGCATTCAGAGACTTGTTCCCATCAGCCTGCAGTATTATCTAAACAGACGATGTTGCTAGATGGAGTCTGACAAGCCCTAACATCACTGGGGGCATTTGATACTTGATGTCTACCTGGACTGGAAAACAAAGGGCGCCACTAATCTATAGATGGAAAACCAAAAACCATTGCTGCCTGCTGAAGGTCATGGAAAGACTCTACTGCAAATACCAAAAATAGATGGAGGTTATCTTCAGCACTTGGAACATCTTTCCGTTCTGGGCTTCTCTGCCCCTCTGTGCCCCCATCTCCCATGACCTCAGCCTGTTCTCAGGACCAGGGCTCACTGTCTCATTCCCACGGAAGATGCAATGACTTATGCTGGCTCGATGGATACCCACCCCTTCCTAAGCATTTGAATCATCCAGTTGATCCAAACCTGAAGTCCCAGGCCAAGCGAAGGCTTCAGGGGAGAACAGGAGATCTTTATTCAGAACGGCTAGAATGGGGTGATTTATCCCTCCTCAGAGAAAGGCTCAGACTCCCAAGTCCTCATCCAAGGTGCCAGATAAGGATAACACGTGATTCAAATCATCTCCAAAGCCTGCGTACCATCCCTCCCCAAGCCTTCCTTTCCTTGCAGATGTTTGCTGGAAGCTACCAAGAAAAGCCCCTAGCATTTATCTATTCCCAAGCATAGTCAAAATCTTGACCCTGTTGCTCAATCTAGATATTGCCACTATAAAAGATTTAGCAGGGGTTTCAAAACCATTCTTTGCTATGCGTCTTCCTGATCTTCCAGAGAGCCTCTGTTTCCTCATTTCTATCTTTCTAGATGTTCACTGCAGCCCTGGCCAGTCAGCGAGAGCTAACCAGCTGTTCCTGGGAGTTGTTCTGCTGAAAAGGCAGAGGCTCCAGTAATTGACTAGAGGATGAGCTTTCCTCTTCTGAAAGAAATTAATCTACTTGGGAAACACATTATAATTTTTTTTTTAAAAGTGACTCATTCCTACTCTAAATTACTGAATTAGCTAGATTTATCTTTCTGCCATCATAGCTTACAGAGAGTTATCTCTCAGAGACAAAGTTAAATCTGTCTTGGCATTAAATACTAAGTCTTCATCGTCCTCGCTAATGCCCGCGACACGGCGGTTCACGTGCTCCCCGGCGTCCTTCTGCATGAAGACACGCTCTGCCTGCTTCAGAGCACCTGCACCATGGCCATCCACCACAGATCTGGCACGGACCTCCAGGCAACCCGCTGAAAGCTCCTGCAGGGGGAGGGGCACACACCAAGCCTCGCTGGGCACAATCTGTGTGGGTGACACTCCCAGTCTTGGCACTCAGGGTCATAAATTGCGGGAAGCAGTTTACTCTCTGGGTAGTTGTGCAGACTGGTCACAGTGGCTCAGTGGGAAGGACCGACTGGCCAGAGGTTGGGATTCTGCTCTCTGTCCCTCGGGGCCACCCCTGCCTGCCCTCCCCTCCCACAGGGAAGAGGAGAGGCCCAGATCTCAGAAGGGACATGTTTAGGCCAAGGGAGGCTGCGGGGAGCCTCTAACAGAGACCAAGGTCCACCTTCCTCTGAGCTGTTCAGGCTGGCACTGTGCCAGGTCCTGTGCCCAGCGCTTTATAACATCATCATGGCATCCCTCGTGCTGCGAGGCCTAAGAGGGAACCGTAA